TAAAGCAAATACTCCTTCTCCACAGTCTCCCCATTTCCTCACATGATCACATCAATGTGCTTGCTTGTCCCCTCCATTGTCACCGCGGTCTCCCTCTATCCCTCGCAAGGCAAATACCCTCGGCTGTTGATGACTTGATATATAAACATGTTTTTATCCACCATTATGTCGTTTGAGCCTCATTTCTCGTATCTTAGTCCGATTTCACGCTAGGTTGTTCTCATTTGTGTTATTTCAGGTCCTAGTACGTGAATGGAGGTTTGGGAGCGAGTTTTGGGCCGATTGGACGAAAGTTGGACGTCTGGCGAGGAGCTGAGGAATCCACACGGCCAGACCTAGCAGCCACACGGCTGTGTGGTGTGGCCGTGTGGAATCCCATTACGCGGCCAAGCCACACTGGCCGTGTATTGGACCCCTTGTGGCCGTGTGGAAAGTCCAGGGAGCTCACACAGCCAGACTGGAAATCCACACGGCCATATGCTTCTGGCTGTGCAGCGTGCCTGAAGGCCACTAAGTGAAACGCGGAGTTTTGACACTCACACGGGCAGACTGGAAAGCCACACGGCTGTGTGGCCTAGCCGTGTGGTCGGAAAATTCTGGGTTTTAACCCAATTTCGAGCCAAAGGAGAGGGAATCGATTTTCTGGAGCAAAAACAGAGCTCTAGAGAGAGAAAGTGCGAAGAACACCCCCTAAGAGTGGTTTTGGCGCTGGGTTTCATCAATCAAGCTTAGAAATCACCTTGGAGCGAAGATCATCATCCCACAACGTATTCTTCCCATCTTAATGAGTATGACTGCTTTGTTTTCTGTTTTCCTCTCTCTCTCTCTATGGAGTAGAACCCTCTTTCACTTGGGTATGAAGAACCCTAGTCCTATGTGTTAGGGATCATTGTTGTAACGACGTTTGGATTGTGATATTGTTGGGTTATAATCGATTGAAGTGTGTTGATTGAGTCAATTGAAGCGTTATCATATTTTATTGATTTCTGCTGCAACCTGAGATAGATAGAATCTGATTAGGTTGTTAGAGCTTCTTCAATGGGTAGTAGTGAATCGATTATACGAGAGTTAGTCGATTCACTGCTTTGTACTAGAATTCAGTTCCAGTAGTGGAGTTCTGTGTTCATAGCCTCAGCTTTCTATCCCGGTGGATAGAATGGGTGGTGCAGGGTATAATGAAGCCAGGTCTCGGCCGTTTCGGGACTGTGTTGATAGTGCTCGGCTACTGGAAATTAAATTATTGGGTCCCAAATTCACGTGGCAACGCAGAGCGCTGTATAAACGACTTGACTGGGCGCTTTGTAACGATAACTGGATCCTTACCTCCCCCAACTCAGAAGTAAAGCATTTGGAGCGATTTGGGTCGGACCATCGACCTTTGCTGCTTCAAGCCGCGCCGTAGAGGAGACCGACGGGGGAACACCCTTTCCGGTTCTTTGCTGCACGGTTAGGGCATGAAGACTTCCCCCGGGCACTTGACGAGTCGTTGAACTTGAGCAATGAGCTACCCCAACAACTAGCGGGCCTTACAGAAATGCTCAATCTATGGAATAAAGAGGTTTTCGGGCATATTCACTATAAAAAATGGAAGGTGGCAGCACAGCTACGTCGAGTGGAAACAAGGAATCAAAGAGGTGCTATAGATGAGGATCGGCAAGAGGAACACAGTTTACGGGCGGAATTGGAAGATGTTCTATGGCAAGAGCATTTGCTTTGGGTGCAGAAATCCAGGTGTGCTTGGGTAGTTGGTGGTGACCGCAACACTAGATATTTTCATCTAACCACGCTCAAATGCAGGCGCTTCAACCAGGTGACAGTTTTGCAAGGAAATGAGGCTCAGATAATTGAGGATGAGGCAGCATTGATTATCCATGTCAACGGGTTCTACGTAGCCCTGTTTACTCATGAGGAGGTTGATGCGCCTCAGCTCCCACTGCTGTTTGAGGTTGTCGATTCCACCATACATCATGCTCTGTGTGTGGATATCTCACGTGAAGATGTCTTGAAGACTATTAAAGAAATGGGCGGGCTAAAGGCCCAAGGGCGAGAAGGCTACCCGACGAGGTTTTTTCAAAATGCATGGAGTAAGCTTGCTGATTCCTTTCTAGCTTTGGCTGCACGCTGCTTCAAGGAGCCAGAGCGGATTGCTTATGTTAATGAGACCCTCCTAGCTCTCATTCCCAAGAAGGAGAACCCGGACTTGATTACTCAGTTTTGGCCGATCGGTCTTTGTAATGTGGTTTACAAAGCACTTGCTAAATGCTTAGTAAATCGCATCAAGCCTTTGATGTGCCGGCTAGTTCATGATACACAGACCAGCTTTGTCACATGTCGTCACATCACTGACAACATCATCATTCTTCAGGAGGTGGTGCATTCGATGGGTTCGAGGACTGGTAGGAGAGGCCACATGGTGATCAGGGGCGGAGCTATGTTGTTCTTCGGGGTGGCCCCGGCCCCCCCGAGAATTCTGAAATCACGTGTTAAGTTCGATAGGAATTTGAAAATTTACGTATACACCTAATACAATATAAGTAAATTTGTGTGCAAAATTGTAACATGAATGTTTGGGTGGCTCAGTGGAAGGATTCACACTTGTTAAATGGAGTAGCTGGGTTCGAACTTAGTGCATCTCCTTTTTTTACATTTTAGAACATGGAAGTTTAATGTACAGTAGTTTAATTTGACCAAAGAGCAATTTGCATCTCCTTTTTTTACATTTTAGAACATGGAAGTTTAATGTACAGTAGTTTAATTTGACCAAAGAACAATTTAATAAGTTAATAATTATCATATATAGGTCAATTTTAATTTCTTTAAAATTAAAATATAGTTTAATTAATTTCTTCAACTTTTGAATTTATATTCTTAATGATTCTCTTGATTAGATGATTAATTATGTAACTTTTTATTTGACAAAGAGCAATTTAATAATTTTTATAGTATGTTTTATAAGTATTTTACTTTTAATAATTTGTTAAACAAATTATTTAGAAAATTTGTTTTAGATTCTAATTTGAGTGACTTTTTAATATCAAATAACGTCTTATATTATTATTATTATTATTATTATTATACTATTAATTACTAATATTATTATTTTCTTATCATTTGTTTACTTTCGACGATAATGTACTAGCTAACTCCGGCCCCCCCCCCGATCGCCCAATCCTGGCTCCGCCCCTGATGGTGATCAAGGTGGATCTGGCGAAAGCCTATGACAGGCTAAACTGACGTTTCTCCGGGAAACACTGACTCTGGCAGGATTCCCTGAAGAGCTTATTATCGTTATTATGCAGTGTGTGACAACGCCACAATGACGGTGCTCTAGAATGGGAATGAGACCGAGCCTTTCTCACCATCCCGAGGTCTCCGCCAGGGATGCCCGCTTTCCCCATATTTGTTCACACTTTGCATAGAGCGCCTCAACCATGTTATCGAGGAAGCTGTTAGGGGTAGGCAGTGGAAGCCGATCAAAACCTCTCCAGGTGGGCCGTTATTTTCTCATCATTTTTTTGATGATGACTTGGTACTTTTTGCAGAAGCATCAGTCCAGCAAGGAGCAGTCATCCTAGATTGTCTAGATAGATTCTGCCTTGCTTCGGGGGAGATGGTGAGCAAAGAGAAGTCTGTAGTATTTTTCTCTAGTAACACAGATCGGGCGACCAACGACGACATTGTTAGAAGCCTTGGTATACCGGCTACTCAGGACTTAGGGCGGTACCTGGGGGTGCCTGTTCTCCATGGCCGTGTTACTAAAGAGACATACAGATACATATTGGAGCGACTGGATAAAAAATTAGCAGGATGGAGAGCATATTCGCTATCTTTTGCGGGGCATGTGATGCTGGCAACCTTGGTGCTCAATACTCTCCGATGTATGCATGCAGACGACGCTTTTACCCCAATCAATCTGCGACGAAATTGACAAGAAAATTCGGCGGTTTATTTGGGGCTCCTTTGCGGAGAAGTGGAAAGCTCATTTAGTTCATTGGGAAGCAGTATGCAGGCCAAAAGCGGAGGGATGTTTGGGTCTAAAAAAAGCTCATGAACTAAATATTGCTTATCTGGCTAAACTTGCTTGGTTGTTTATGAAAAACCAGGATGATATATGGGTAAAGGTGCTTTAGGCAACATATTTCAAAACTGTTGGAGGTCTCCTGAAGAGTAAGCTGACGCGTCGGTGCTCCACTCTCTGGGGCGGGATCAGACGAGCGTGGCCAGTGATGGTAGCGGGCACCAGTATGTGTGTGAAAAATGGAAGAAGCACGACATTTTGGACATATAGATGGGTTGGCAAGGACACCATCCTCATGAACCACATAAGAGAAGATGCACCGCTGGTGGATCCTGCCGTCCCTGTTGCGGCCTTTGTCGGCGACCAAGGTGAGTGGAATGAGCCTTTGTTAGACATGTACTTACCTAGTGAGATTGTACTGCAGATTCTGGCCAGCTAACCCCCAGGTGAAGAGGCAGGAGAAGATGAGGCATATTGGGGACCCGAACCCAATGGGAGGTTCAAAGTCAAGTCAGCATATGATATTGCCTGTGGGCGGGGTGACAATCAACCGAAACTTGACTGGAGGAAGATTTGGAGCTAGCGCGGACCGGTGTGGACATCACAATTCCTATGGCTGGCAGCGGGGGAGAGATTAATGACTAACACGGAGCGGAGCAGGCGACATATCTCCACCAACAACGGATGTACTTTGTGCTCTTATGCAGCCGAGATAGTCCTGCATGTGTTGCAGGACTGTCCCTTTCCCAGGTTAATATGGATGCGTCTCATCAAGCTTTCTTATCACTAGAATTTCTTTGGTTTGCCCCTTTAGGAATGGATCTTGAAATACCTGCACCACCCGGACTACGGCCTAACCTTTAGCCTCACTTGCTGGTCCCTCTGGAAGACCAGGAACGACAAGGTCTTTAATAACAAGATCACCACCACCGAGTCCTTCATACAGCGACTCCAGGCCTGGATAAATGTAGTGAAGACGGATATGGAAAAGGATAGGCTCGTTCTTAAGACTGTCCTGCCCATTAGAACGGAGGTCGAGATCTCTTGGAAATCGCCGCCTCCCGAGTGGGTCACCCTCAACTCAGACGGTTCCGTTCTCCCCGACACAGGTCAGGCTGCAGCTGGTGGCCTGATACGAGATCACACAGGACGTTGCATTGCAGCGTACGCTCGTAACTTGGGTTTTTGTTCCATAACCCAGGCAGAGTTGTGAGGTGTTGTTGAAGGATTACATGTGTCTTGAAATCTCGATTATCGTCGAATCCGAGTAGAGCTGGACTCGCGGTGTGCAATACAGATGCTGACGAGCAGGAACAACGACACACACTGCCACTCGGCCATTGTGGCCCGTTTTCAGTCTCTTGCAGAGCAAGGAGGAGATGTAAGGATCTCCCATGTGTATCGTGAGGATAATAAGTGTGCTGATTATCTTGTCGCTTGCGGCCACGCCCAGTTTGTGGGGGTGCACATCTTTTCGATTTCTGATTCTCATTTGTACCAGTTGGTTATGTATGACTGTCAGGGGCTCTCCGAACCCCGTTTGGTGTTGAATGAAAGCTAAGATACGGCGCATCTTTTTACCCAAAAAAAATAGAAATACCATTTATGGACTTGATGAATGGATTGAAAAGCCTACATCTTGAGTTAGAATTTGATAAAAAAAAATTATGTCATTGTGCTAGTATCTTCCAAATTCAAAACAATAAAACTCATGATGAAATCCAATATTTAAACAAAAAAATGATGATTAACCAAATATATAACTAGTTCTTCACTTGTCAAATACAAAAATAGGTACAATCATTGGGTCTTATGTTCATCAAACAAATGAACCTAATAAGTGTTTTGCTTTGTGAACACTAGGAATGACAATTTCAATTTTTGACCTTTTTCATCCTATCCGACCTATTTGACATGTTTTCTATTATTGACCTGACCTGTATTGACCTACCCCATTATCGATCCTTTATTTTGTATATTACATGTGATTTCCCACCGCCAATAAGGGTGAAGGCACGCATTGTGCTATGTATGAATGTATGGATGTATGAATGTAATAGTTGGTTAGTGGTAAGATGAACCCCAGGGCGGTTGGGCCACTACTAGACGCGGTAGATGGTCAGATCTCTGCTGGACGGCGAGACGTAACGCAGTAGTTGATCGTGTTTGTTGGGATCACTACTAGACGACAAGACGTAATGCAGTAGTTGACCGGGCATGGACTGGACGACGTGACATAACGCAGTGCCATTTCCGAGTTTGGGTATGCAACCGGATAGTGAGACGTAACACGGTTAGCACACTAGGGTAGGGACACCGGACGGCGAGACGTAACACGGTGGTCCCTAGTGTTGGTGTCTATCGATTAAGAATATAAGTAAGGAAATTCTAAAGATAAGATTGGAGTAGAGATCTCTTATAGACTGGTTGATAACAAAGTATAAAGGATGAAAGCGAGAATGACTTTTGTCTAAGTCAAGAACCCTAATAACGTGTTTAGTAAGGCATTTCTTAGGGCAAAGACCTTATGAAGTAACGATGAGAGTGACCCCTTCTCACTCACCAGCTGCAGAGAGGGGAAGATGACGCATCCATTAAGAGGAGGTTACCTGAGGAGAGCAGCCGCGGCAAACCTGAAGATGCCAACTGGATCTGGGTAACGAGATAAGACCTCCCATTATATATGTCTTTAGTTTCATGTCTTAGTGAGTATACTGTGAAATTCAAGGATTATGTTTGTTGCTCTGGATTGAGGTCGCCCAAGTGTTTAGGGCATTTCACTTGAGAATCTTAAACATTCTTGTTGTTGATTTTTGGTTTTGACTTGTAAACCTGTTTTGGGCTGCTCTGGAGTAACCGGTTTGTGGTTTGAGTTATGGTTTGGTTTTCAAAAAGAATCTGGTCGTTACATTTTGGTATCAGAGCCGGCATTCCTCTGTTTCTTGGTCTCCAAGGAATACTGGAGTGACGATCTAGCTTTTCAAAGGTTTAGTTTTCAATGAAAAAGGGAAATTTCAATAAAAATGGTTGGCCAACCGTTTTGAAAAGGTTTATAGAGTCCCCAGTATACTCAAGCATGATAAGACAAATAAATGTGGTTCTAATAAGGGTACTACTAACTTGCAGAGCAAGTAACACCAATGTTAACCATGCGGCAGCTAGGTACCCCCGAATTATGAGGCTTTCCGGAGGTGAGGAGTGGTTAATTTTGATGGAGACCGCTCGAAGGATGCTAGTGAAGTAGAGAAATTGCTGGCGAAGGTCTAGCACACATTGACTGAAAAATGAGGGCAGATAATGAGGACAGGGTGCTACTGACAGTATTCCTGCTCCAAGATTCAGCATAAAATTGGTGGTGCACCCAGCCAGCTAGCCAGGAAGACCCACCAGCTATCACTTGGCCAGAGTTGGTGCGGGTGTTCCAGGATCACTATGTACTAGAGGCCTATTGACTTAGCAAAAAGAGGGAATTTTTACTGATCAAGCAGGGATGGGGCATTGAAGGAGAGGAGGGTGTTGCAGAGTACACCTCCATGTTCGAGAAGCTGCTGCCCTACGGGGGACCCTAGTTCCAGGATGCGACATCTCAACATGCCCACTATTTGGAGAGTCTGAAGCCTGCCCTTAAGAAGCAGTTGAGCATGCTGTCATGGGACAGTCGGGAGGAGATTTATCAGGCGGCCCTTCGGATAGAGATGGCTGACACAACTGAGCATGAAGAAAGGATACAACGAGAGGGAAGCAAGAGAAAGGCAAGTAGCATGCCAAAGTGGTCTGGCCAACCCAGTCAGTACAGAAGGAGGCCGAGCGATATCAGTATCTTTGGGGGTACTCAGAGTTAGACCGGCTCGGTCCGGCCTAGTCAAACTTTCAACAATAGAGGTCTCTACAACCAGTGTGGGTGGGATCACGTTGGGGAGTGTAGGCAGCCCACCAGGGTTTGCTATAACTGTAACGAGCCAGGGCATTTCGCCAGAGCCCCTGGAGAGGAAGACAAGGGATGACTGAGTTGAGCAGTATGTCTGGGGTGGTGGAGCGAGGACTCACGCAGGACCACGGTTTGGCGGCCAGCCAAACCGCTCCTTCCAAAGCTAGGGAGGACTGTCACGGACCAACTCTTGGCCGTGCGGCACTTAGCACTCAAGTCTCGTTAGAGCGCTAAGTCAGCCTTGCTCGTATTCACTCAAACTCACAAGTTGGGAGAAAAGCTCTAGAGATGGAAAGCTCTCTTATTTCTGGATGAATGACAAATGAGGGAGAGGGCTGCTTATATAGGCATCCTCTCCACTAAGTACAATGTATATGGCCGTCATAAATGAACGAACCTAGAAGTCCCCCCCCCCATACAAGAACTTGCCCCATACATGAATGTAATAAATAAGGTGCATGAATAAAAGATAGATAAGGGGGATGCATGTACATTGGTGCATGAATCGCAAGATGCATGCATGTACCTAGTATGCAGTCAAAATCGGGATTTTGATCGTAAAATCGTAGGATTTTAGGATTTTACTTAGGGATTCCGATCCTGATTTTACTATAAAATCGATGGACCATTAAATCGTTCAAAATCGGGATTAAAATCGTTAAAATCGTACCAAAATCGGGATTTTGATCCTATGTGAACAAAATAGGGAGCTTGAGCCAATTCAAAAGAAGCAGAACTGTTTCGGTGGAAAGGGCAATGACGGGAATCTTCTCATATATTTTCCTATTAAAAGAACATTTGAAAAGAAGAAGAAAAATAATAATTAGGGTTTGGTCAACCCCTTTCCCTTCTCCTTGTTTAACTCATCGGTAAAACAATTATCAGAATATTGTAAGTGCGTAAGAATTAACATCATTATTAATAAATTATTTGATTAATGAATATATTTGTACCAAACCAATGACATTAATTATTTTATTGGATTTCAGTTATTCTTAGTTTTAAATCATGCTTAGTAGACGATGTCGGGATACTACTTTGAGTTAAACTACCTAGACACAACATGAAAAACAAGAGCCAAACCCCATGAACTCTATCCCTTCCTCATAAATTATTTTGAGTTACGCATTAAATAATAATTAAAATGATGATTTTGGAACATTAATCTTGAAAATTATCACTTTAAAGGTTATAAGTCTTTGTGTTATTAATTATTTACCTTATTAATATTATTATATGTTAATTTATATATGCTACTTAAAATCTTACGATTCTACGATTCGATTTTACAATTCCGATTTTATCCCAGTTTTCGATTTTAGGTAAAATCCCGATTTTAACTGCTTTGGTACCTACATCCTTCTAGAATGCTCTAGAATCTTCCGCGTAACATTCTCCCCCACTCAATCTCGCGACGCCGTCGTCGCGGACTCCACATGAAACGCCTCGATCAAGTCTTTGTGATGCCATAGCGAAAGCTCCTTCTCCCAAGTGATGTCGCTTTCTGGCCGCCCCTTCCACTTGACAAGATATTCCGCGTAGCTTGGGTGAACACCACGCCTAGGCACAACACGATGAGCCATCATCTCTTCCACTTCGTGCTCATGTGTTGTGGTGACGAGAGTTGGTGCCCTCGTCGACTCCTTCCATGCTCCATCTTCCTTGTCTTCATGATATGCCTTCAATTGATGCACATGGAAGACGGGGTGAATCTCCAAGTGCGATCGCAGCTCAACTTTGTACATCACCGTGCAAATCTGCTTCAAGATCGGATATGGCCCTTCATATCATCGCAGCAGCCCCTTGTGCACATTTTTGAGGTGCTTGAATCGATGAGGGAAGAACTTCACCATCAACAAGTCTCCCTCTTCGAATTCCAAGTGACGCCGCTTCCTATCCGCCCACTCCTTCATCTTCTTCTTCGCTCGAGCGAGATAAGAATTAGCCAACTCCATCTTCTCGTGCCATCCTCGTGCAAACTTGTAGGCAGATGGGTTGTTTCCCTTGTACCATGTTGTCACCGTATTGGGTGTCAACAGCTGTTGCCCGGTAGCCAACTCGAACGGGCTCATGCTCGTGGCTTCACTTCGGTGTAAGTTGTAGGAGAATTGGGCTACATCCAATAGCTTCACCCAATCCTTCTGGTTGGCACTCACGTAATGCCTCAAGTAGACCTCCACCAAAATTGACCCGCTCGGTTTGCCCATCTGATTGAGGATGAAAGCTCGTGGAGAAGTTTAGATCGGAGCCAATCATCTTGAACAACTCCCTTTAAAACTTGCCGG